GAGGTTGGAGGGAGGAGAAAAAGGAGAGATGCAAGTGACTCAGACACACATTCACAGAGCGACGTGCAGAGAGAAAGAAGGAGGGTGACAGAGTGTCCCAGCTATACCCGGGTGTAGGGGCTGGCCAGGAGGCCCCCAACCCTAAGCTTCCCCCACCTTTGCCATCTTCAGCAAGAAGGCATCCACAACGTCGCGTGCGGGGCCTGAGGCGTCCAGGCTCCTCTGGTGCCGCTGTATCTGCTGGGTGGCGAAGGCAGCCACAGTGCCCACTTGGCCGAGGAGCTGCGTGTAGGGGCCCGGGAGGTGCTGCAGGAGCCGTGAGAACATCTCGTAGGTCTGCGGGGGGACGGGCAGCCGTTTTCACGGGGGCCTGGCCCTGCACCAGGGCAGAGGGGCGGGCGGACAGGGCGCTCTGGGGTTACCTGAAAGAGGTGGGCAGGAGCCTTTGGAGAGAGAGGGATCCCACCCCCTTACCTGGGCCCACGGGGAGCTGACCCCCACGACGATGCCACTAGCCGCCCGGACCAAGGCCTGGAACTCCTCGTCGTCATAGGGGAAGCGGAGGCGGAAGACGAGGGAGCAGACGATGTTGGAGGTGGCCTGGGCCAGCAGCAGTGAGGGGTCAAAAGGCCTTCCTGGGGAGGAGGGGACAGGGAGGGGGCTTGTGATGGAGACGGGCAGAGGGGTGCTGACGTAGGGCGGGGCCTGTCCACGAAGATGGAGTGGGGGCCAGACCCGACCGGAAAGAGACAGGCAGAAAGAGTGAGACAGAGACAGAGACGGACAGGGAAAGAGAGAGTTAGACACGGAGAGAGACAGAGAAAGACACAGGCAGACTTACAGGAGAGAAAAACAGAAAAATAGGGACTTCCCTGGTGGTCCAGTGGTTAAGACTCCGCACTTCCAATGCAGGGGGCGCGGGTTTGATCCCTGGTGGGGGAACTAAGATCCCACATGCTGCACAGTCAAAAAAAAAAAGAGGAGAGGCAGAAAGAGTGACGTGACAGTACGAGGGACACAGAGACCCTCAGGGAGACAGCAGGATAGAGGCAGAAGGTGGAGGAGGAGAGAGGTGGAATGATTGGAGTCCCCAGCCCAGTGCGCGAGGGAAGGCCCTACCACACTCGGGCACCCTGCTGACCTTTGGTCCTCCGGAGCGCCTCCACCAGACACCGGGCCTCCGCCTGGATCAGCTCCTCACCTTCTCGTTTCCCCATGCCCAAGTCCCGCAGGGCCAGCGTGGTGAACTTCCTCAGCTGCCTCCATCGCTCCCCATTAGAGAAGAAAACCCCTGCACAGAAGGCTAGACTCAAGGAGGGACCAGCCCTCCCCCGTTCCCCAGGATTCCTCCCTTCCTCCCAGTGAGGTGCCCTGTCCTAAGTCCACATGAGCCTAGCGCAAGAAGGAGGGCCCACGAGGTGCTCAATAATTGCCTAACTTGCATCGGAGGGTGACCTCCTCCTGAGGAGTTGGTATCTGGGATTATCCAGGCTCCTTGTGTTTTGTGATTCACCAGCGTGAGTGAAGATTTCTTCCTTCCTGCCGGCTATCCATCTTTTTATTCCTCTGTTCACCCACCCATCCATTTACCATTCCTTCCTCTTTCCTCTTTCTCCCTCCCTCCCACCCTTCTATCCATGCATCCATCCATCGATACCAACACTTATGGAGTATTATTGGGTCCCATGCCCCATGCCAACTGGAGGTTGAAAAGGGAGGGAGATGGATGGAATTGCACTGTTTTCCTCCTTATCCAAGAGGCCTGGACAGTCCCTTCCCTGGTCTGAGCTGTTTCCACTTGTAGAATGCCAGTCTATAACGGCCTTCTGGGCGCCTCCTCCTGGATGTCCCCTGCCCACCCATCCCTCCGCTGTGTCCCAAACTGGCCTCAGCATCTCTCTTTCTCATCAACATCCCATCCCCTGGCTAGAGCCCTGCATTCCTCTCCCAACCACCTCCCCTCTTCCACTCAACAGCCCCAGCCCCGGTCCAGCCCAGTCCCCTTGCTGGGCTCCCACACAGCAACCAGAGGATCTTTCTAACTCTGACTCTACCCTTTCCCAGAAAAACCCAAAGTCCAAACTCTGGCTTGACTCGGGCCCTGCGTGATCAGGCTCCGAAGACGTCTCCAGCTTTGCTACTAATTCAATTGCACTGGGCTTTTCTCACTTCCTCAAAGGTGCCAGGATGGCCCTCTAGGCCTTTGCCCCGGCTGTCCCCTCTTCCTGGATCACTCACCTCTTCGTCCTCACTGAACTAACTGCACTCAGTCTTCAGGTCTCAGTTCAAATGTCAACTCCGCTAGGAAGCCTTCTCTGATTCCCCCCATTCTCCTCTCCAAATCCCTCTGCCCCCCTCATTTTGAGTGTTTGCCCACCGATTCCCAGTGCCTCAGATGCTCTCCCTCTTCCTCCCAGCCCTGGGGCTTCACCTGGAACATTAATAACACTACTACAACCAGGTCACTAATGAGTGCTTACTTCGTGCTATCCTCAGTGCAATCCTACACAATAGGCACTGTCATCAACCCATTTTAGATGAGAAAACAGAGGCCCAGAGACACTGAACTGCGTGGAAGGTCACATATGAGTAAGTGGTGGCAGGCTCTGAGTGAAGGACCCAGCAGCCTCCAGCTCCCCTTTTGACTCACCATGGCCATCAAAGGTTCCGTTCAGTGTTGCCACCAAACCCCGTCCGCTGAACGCCTCGGCCTGACCTCTCAGGGCCTCCTGCACAGCCTCACGCCCAACCAGGACCACCACGCGCCGCCAGGGTCCCAGGTACACAGTGAACACTGGTCCATACTTCTTACTCAGCTGGGAGCAGGGACCGAGAAGGGGTGAGTGACGTGGGGAAGTCTACTGCCTTTTAAAGTCTTGTGTCCATCCTGGCCCCTGCCGCTGGATGAGCCACCTAAGAGAAGCCCTTCCTGCCTCGCCCCATACTGAAGTAGTCCCTTTGGAAGATTCAGTTCTTGTTTTGCACCAAGCTCCCAGCATTTCACCCCCCTCCCCCACAAGAGTCCTCCTTGCTCAAACTCCCTCACCCAACACACTCTCTGGTCCCCATTCCCTTACCCCCTGCAGAGCCCTAACTTCTGACACTGGGACAACCCAGAACCCACCCCTGCTCCCACAGCACAGACCTATAGCAGCAAAAATGGGTAGCTGCAGCTGTGGCCTCCCATAATCTCTCATCTCCCCATCCCCGAAAAAAAAAAAAACCCCAACTACCCCTTTCAACCACTGCTAAATCCTCAAAGTCTGGAGCAGCTACCACGGAGCACTGGTGCCATGCTCGCTACCCCCTCCTTGCCATGTCTGGAAGACACCGGAATGGGGAACCTCTGGCCTCTTTTCACTACCCCCCGCCAAAAGTTTGGAGACTGCCTCAGCCTCCTGTCTCTCTCTCCTTCCTTTCTCTGTCCCACGAACTTCCAGCTCCCTCCCTCCTAGCTGAGCTCCGCCTATCCCCCCCTCCCCCAGCCCCCCAGCCCCATCGGTCTCCGCAGACAAATTCCTGGAATCCTCCAGCCTCTGCCTCCAACTCCCCCGGGGACACCCTCTCTTTTTTATTCTCTGCCCCCTCCACAGGATACTCACGTGTATCTCCCCTCTCCCTCTCCCTCTGGGTCAAGTCACCACCATCACACCATCAGTTTCTCTTCTGCTTCACGACTCGTCTCTCTCACCTTTGGTTCCCTGCCCCCCTCCCCCCTCCCAACCTTCCCAGGATTCTGCCAGTCTCTCTAACCCGGGACCCCTGGCCCCCTGGAGCCTGCTTTCCAGCTCTCACGCCGTCTCCAGGATTCGGGGGGCAGGATTCTGCTCCTCCTAGCCCGGGTGCCCCACCCCCTCTCCCTGCGACTCCCCCAACTCTCTCAGCTCTGCCCGGGGACCCTTCATCCGCATCCCCTAGGATACCTAAGGGCCTCGCTGCGTGGTTTGTCTTCCTGGGGTTCCCCCCCCCTCCTGGCCCTGGTACCCTCCCACCCCCTCCTAGCCAGGGCGTCGGCGCGCCCCCTCACCCGTAAGAGCCCCAAGTACAGCGCCCCAGGCCGGAGCTGCAGGAGGTTCCCCAGCAGCGGCAGCGGCGTGGGCCCAGGGGGCAGGTGGCCTCGCGTCCGGGTCCCAGGCAGCGCCAGCGCCAGCAGCAGCAGCGCCAGCAGCAGCAGCAGCGCCCAGGTGCCCGCCGCCTCCATCTCGGCAGGTCGGCTGCTTCTCGGGCTCCCCGACGCTCCACGCGGCTGGGCCAGTTGGGGGCGGGTGCCGGGCGGCTCCTTCCCCGAAGAAATCTGGCGGAGGGAGGCGGGGCAGCTAGCCTTTCCCCCTGCCTCCGGGCAGGATTCTCTCCCCGCCGCCGGATTTCTTTCTCCCAGACCACCGCCGCCGCCTGGTGTCCAGGACACACTCGAACGCTAGTCTCCCTGGTCACCCAGGTTCGAGGGGGCGGAGACAGCTCTTTGCGCCACAGGTAGGGCGTGGGCAGGCGGGGAGATCCTAGAAACCAGAGACTTTGGCCGCTACCAGGAGGCCACACCCCGTGCCTGGCGGTGACCCCGCACCGCCCTCCCCGACTCCTACCTCCCTCCTCACTGTTATCCGGTGTGCATTCACGTGTGCGTGCGTGGGTGGGGTCTTTAAGCCAATTTCCTCCAACACCTTACATCTTCACCACGAACTAGGAGGAACGTGACCTTGAACCATACATAAAATAGCTAACCCACAAGGACTTACTGTACAGCCCAGGGAACTATACTTGATAGCTTGTAATAACCTGTAATGGAAAAGAATCTGAAAAGGAATATATATCTGGGACTTCCCTGCTGGCTCGGTGGTTAAGAATCCGCCTGCCAATGCAGGGGACACAGTTGGAGCCCTGGTGTGGGAAGATCCCACATGCCACGGAGCAACAAAGCCAGTGGGCCACCCGGCGCTCTGGGGCCCACGAGCCGCGACTACTGAGCCCGCGTGCCACAACTGCTGAACCCCCCCCATAGCCCGTGCTCCGCAACAAGAGAAGCCACCGCAATGAGAAGCCCGCGCACCACAGCGAAGAGTAGCTCACGCTCGCCACAACTAAGGAAAGCCCCGGCACAGCAATGAAGACCCAGCGCAGCCAAAAATAAATTAATTTAAAAAAAGAATATATATATGTATGTATAGCTGACTCACTGTGCTGTACCTGAAACTAACACGGCATTGTAAATCAACCATACTTCAATAACAATTAATTAATTAATCAACAAACAGAAAACCAATAAAGGATCTGAGGTTCAGAGAGTCTTAGGCCACACAGCTAACAAAGCGGCACAGTTGGGGGTTGAATTCAGACCGGTCTGAACGATTGACTAAATCATTCATTCACTTAGCAGTATAGTATAGTGGTTAGAAACATGATGTCTGAAGCCAGACCACTTGAGTTCACAGCCCAGCTTCTCTGTTAATTCTTCTTTAAGAATGGGGATCTGTTTCAGAATTAAACAGTTATGTGTGGGAATTCCTTGGCTGTCCAGTTGTTAGGACTCCGGGCTCTAACTGCCGAGGACCAGGGTTCAATCCCTGGTCCGGGAATTAAAATCCCACAAGCCGTGCGGCCAAAAATAAGATAGGTACGTGTGTACATAACTTAAAACAGGGCCAGGTGCATATATAACAAGCATTAAATAAATGCAAAGCTAATATTCTTCCAATTAATTGTTATTGAGGTCTAGTTGTAATAGAGAGAAGGACCTTGCCCTCTCAGAGCACTTGTCCCCATGCAAATGAACTTGTAAATTAAGATAATTTCAGGAAGTGCAAAGGCCTGCCAGGGGAATGGGCTTGTTGAGGCAGAAGATGGTTACAATGTCAGATCCATGCTGTAGCCCCAGCATCTAGAGCAGTGCCTGGCACACAGTAGATGCTCAATAAATATCTGTTGCATCAAAGATTGAATGCAGGCGATGATGCTATCGAGGTCAGCAGGGACGTTGTGGAAAAGATTTGGCATTTTATTTCTAGTGCAAGGGGAAGCAGTTGAAGGGTTTCTTGCAGGAAGTTACTTGGTTTGCTTTGCATTTTCATTTAACATTTTATTAGGAAACCTTTAAAACATACCAGACACCTATATATTCACCATCTAGCTTCCACCAATAACATTTGAACTATCCTTGCTTTGTTATGTATCTATTAATCTTGTCTCAATTCATCTTTTTTTTTTTGATGTGTCTCAAAGACAGTTGCAGGGCTCTCCTGGTGGGGCAGTGGTTAAGAATTTGCCTGCCAATGCAGGGGACACAGGTTCGAGCCCTGATCCAGGAAGATCCCACGTGCTGCGGAGTGGCTGGGCCCGCGTGCCACAACTACTGAGCCTGCCAGTATAGAGCCCGTGCTCTGCAACAAGGGAAGCCACCGCAATGAGAAGCCCGCGCACTGCAACAAAGAGTAGCCCCCGCTCACCGCAACTAGAGAGAGCCCATGCGCAGCAACGAAGACCCAGCGCAGCCAAAAAAAAACCTAAAAATAAACACAGACAGTTGCAGACACCAGCACCCTTCACTCCTAAACACACCAGCATGCATATCATTTGCTAGAGTTAACACTGGTGTACAGGTCATTCCTTGCCACCTCCCGGGTAAGGTTATGCACGATGAAATGCACAAATTTCGACACATAGGTACATCCTCCGTGTGACCCAAGCTCCTATAAGGATACAGAGAGTTACCATCATCCCAGAAACCTCCCTCCTGACCTCTCCCGTCAATTCCCCCACTCCCACCACTGTACTGATCAATGCCGCCCCGCCCCCCCACCAAAGATTCGTTTTCTCTTTGCTTTTTTTTTTTTTCAGCCGCGCAGCCTGTGGGATCTTCGTTCCCCTGAGCAGGCATCAAACCTGGGCCCTTGGCAGTGAAAAGTGCAGAGTCATAACCACTAGACCTCCAGGGAACTCCCCTCTCTTTGCATTTAAAAAGATCCTTCTGGCTGCCTTCTGAAGAAGGAACTGTGGGGAATGAGGAGCAGGGGAAGAAAGAGCTGGGAGCCTAGTGCAAGCAAGGTCCAGGCAAGTGATGACGATGGCTAGGAGCAGAGTGGGTAGCAGTGGGGAGAGAAAGAGATGGATACATTTAGGATTTATTTGGAGGTAGAGCCAGTAGGATTTGCTGACAAATTGAGTTTGAAGGCAAAGGAAGGAACCCGGGTTTTCTTCTGTCGAATACAAGTAATTCTGGTATGAGGTAAGGAGAGACTGTATTACAAAAGACTATTGCAGGGGCTTCCCTGGTGGCGCAGTGGTTAAGAATCTGCCTGCCAGTGAAGGGGTCATGGTTCGATCCCTGGTCCGGGAAGATCCCACATGCCGTGGAACAACTAAGCCCGTGGGCCACAACTACTGAGCCTGTGCTCTAGAGCCCACGAGCCACAATTGCTGAAGCCCGTGGGCCTAGAGCCCGTGCTCTGAAACAAGAGAAGCCACTGCAATGAGAAGCCCGCGCACCACAACGAAGAGTAGCCCCTGCTCACTCGCCACAACTAGAGAAAGCCTGTGCACAGCAAAGAAGACCCAACACAGCCAAAAATAAAATAAATAAATAAATTTATGAGAAAAACAAAACAAAAGACTATTGCAGTAGAGGGACAGAGACTATTGCAAAGACAATACCCAGAAGGATGTATTTTCTAGTGAAACAAATGTTTTCCCTAATCCTAGATTGCTTTTGTCCTCAGCAAGTGGAAAGGAGATGGGGACCAACAGAGGTGAAAAACTGGTGAAGCAGGTTTTACAGGAGGGAGAGGAATCAGGAATTCTCTTTTTGCCCGAAGAAGTTTGAGATGCCTGTTAGCTATCCCAGGAGAAGAGCTGAGTGCACAGACAGGTTAGAGGTTGGACTTGGGACCTCCCAAGACCCTCCAAAACAATGCAAAGGAGAAACTAAGAACTGGCACCCACTTCATGGCAACAAACTGTAGGCCAGCCTCCCCCCATCTCTCTCCGGTTTCAGGAGACGCCCCTGGGATGTCAGAGGCTAGAATCAAGGCCCGAGGAGACTGCAGAGAACATTCTGGCCATGTTTTGAGAGAAAGGGTTTTGGCTTAGAATAGAAATTTCAAGATTGCAAAGGTCTAAGAGTCTACTGTTTTAAGATGAACTTGATTGCAAAATCCTACAGATAAGAAAATGTAGAAGTTCCCAAGATTCTAAAGATTCCAAGACGAGACTACCCACTACCATGGTAATAAAATTCAAGTCCCTCATGGAGGCCTACAGGGCCCTTTTGGGGGATCTGTCCACTGGCTGCTGAGTTTGACATCATCTTGACCCACTCTATTCTCTGCTCATGCTAGCCCTCTTTCAGGGTTTTGAACACCAAGCTGGCCTCAGGGCCTTTTCACCAGCTCTCTGCCTGAAATGCTTGGCCCGGAGATTGAGATGGGCTCATTTTTCTGTGCTCAGCTTAAAGGCTGGTCCCCTCCAGAAGAGACTTTTCCAGATGAAACAAGCTGAATTAGCTCCCTCCCAAATCCCAGACCCTGCTTTAATTTATTAAATAAGGTATTTAATAAATATTAAATGAATTAATATTTTCTAAGCACTTACAATAATAGTGCCTGACATATAGTCAGCTTTGAATGTGTTTGTTAAATACATAGAGAATTTTCTTCATAGCCTCTTATCACTACCTTGAACGCATCTTATATATTGATTTACATTTTCATTCTGCCTTCCCCCACCAAAATATTCTCTCCACGATGGCAGGGACTTCTGTCTGGTTTACTGATGTGTCCCCAGAGCCTGGCATACAGTAGGTACTCAATAAATATTTTGTTGAATGAGTGATTTGAATACAGTTTGCTAGTCTCTCAAATTCATCTAAAGAGCGATAAAGGTTCCCAAATTCTCAGTCTAAAGAGCAAAGATGCAGAGATTCCTATCATAGATTTTGCAGTAACTGAGTTATCTGTGGTGGATCCTGGCCTCTCCTCCCCTGGACTGGGAGATGCCCATACATCTTGTTCTGTGGCTGACAGCTGACCCCTCACCTGCTACTTCCCATCAGACCCCCTCTGATCTGGACTGGGTGAGGACCTGGGTGACTTTTAATTTATTTATTTTATTAATATTTTGGCCATGCTGTGTGGCTTGTGGGATCTTAGTTCCTAGACCAGGGATCAAACCTGGGCCCTGGCAGTGAAAGTGCGGAGTCCTAACCACTGGACTGCCAGGGAATTCTGGGTGACTTTAAATTTAGCCTCCTATGATGGATTTTTTTTTTAAGATTAAAATATTTATTTATTTATTTGGCTGCATTGGGTCTTCGTTGCTGTGCGCGGGCTTTCTCTAGTTGTGGCGAGTGGGGGCTACTCTTCGTTGTGGTGCACGGGCTTCTCCTTGCGGTGGCTTCTCTTGTTGCGGAGCATGGGCTCTAGGCACGTGGGCTTCAGTAGTCGCAGCATGCAGGCTCAGTAGTTGTGGCACATGGGCTTTGGAATGCAGGCTCAATGGTTGTGGCCGACGGGCTTAG